GCTGTATATAGGAGCCCAATCTGTGGCTGAATTCTAGCACTGGAGTTCAACTTCTTGTAACTACCATAGTGTGAACAGTAAACAGAGTGAGGGTAGACAACCATTGTTGGACATTTTCAAAGTCCCTTTCCTTGTGACCAGTTGATGGCCTCCTCAGCATTAAAGTTTTATAAACCTTAGATGGCAGATTTGCCATCTGGCCTCCTTGGCTAGCCACCCTTTGCCCTCTAATAAAGCCCCATGGAAAATGATTTCTCGAAGCCAGGGAGGCTGCAGGTTGCTGAGAAAAATATTATCTGGGGAGAGGGGGGAGGGCAAAGCCACTTCATCCATGAGAATTTATCTGAAATGTTCTTCTCCTTTGAAAGAATTGCTAAAGCAAACAAGCTTTCATCAAATGGAATAGAAACTGGTAGTAAATACATAGAATTTGTTTGCCTGGCAGTAATAATTTTACCTAACGAACCCTTATTCCTTTCACACTGTGTGATTCCAGTGCTTTTTAAAAAGGTCTTATTACAATCCAGATTTTCCTCCCTAAACCCCTTCCAGCTTGGACTTCTATGAAAAACACCCCCCCTCTCTCTCTCTCTCTCTCTCTCTCTCTCTCTCTCTCTCTCTCTCTATCTATCGTCTATCAAAACTTCTGAGAACAAGGCAGGGGCAAATCATATCCATCCTATTGCCAAGAAAATAAGTTGAGTGGGTCCATGAAGTCGCCAGGAGCTAAGGATCACTTGAAGGGATCTTCGCCTGGCCGGTGGAACTACCTTGTGCTGAGCAAGGCTGGTTAATTTATGGAATGGGAACCACTAGGACATTCCAAGGTTGAAGGCAAACTAGAAAGTTAAAAATGTCCCCAGGGGATGCAACAAGAAGCTAACTCTGCTTGTTACCAGAAGACTTCATGGACTCATGCAGTTACCAGAAGACTTCATGGACCCATGCAGTTACCAGGAATCAGGGTCTATTCAAGAGAAACCTTACTTTTGTTTCTGTAGGTGGAAATGCTGGGCCCCCCTTGGCTGATCCCAAAAAAGCTAAGCACAGTTGGAATGGGTTAGTATTTGGATGGGAGAAATCCCAAGGCTTTAGGCTACATTGGGAAAGTCGGGGGGGGGGAGGGGGGACAATGGAAAAAGGCAATGACAAACTATTTCCATGTTGCCGTGAGGAAAATAACATAGACTTGAGGAAAACTTTATTTTACCTTAAACACCATATATAGGATTCCCTCTCACGTATCTAAGAATTTCCCTCTTTGGTCATATTAATAAACATTACAATCCAGGGGCCACTTCTGGAGAGCTTAGAGGGGCTCCTATGGGACTCCGGGTATTCAGGTTGTCCCCTTGTTTTAAGGAACCAGGGGGGGGCACTCTGATATCTACCAAAGGCCCCATAAACTTTGAGATGGAGGAGAAAGAAAATTGAGAATGGGAATGTTGGAAAAGGTCTTGGAGATCATGTATCCCAGCCACCAATTCAGTGCAGACCCTACAAAGCAGCCTTGGCTTACATGAGAGCTGGGGTGGGGTAGTGGGGAAGGGGCTGGACTAGGAGTGGGAAGACCCAGGCTGTAGTCTTTCCTCAGTCGTGGATACTCCCAGGGTAATTTTGGGCCAGTTCTTCTCTCTTGGCCCGGCCTACTTCACAGAATTATTGTGGGGAACACTGAAGATGTACCATGTATGCTGCTTTGAGCTCCTTCATTTATAACTCTAATAAATACAAATAAATACATTTGGTGGCTTATCCCTAATCATGAGTGTCCACAGGCAGTGGGTTGTGGCATAGTCGTAGCTTGTACTGAATACCTCTGTTCTTAAGGATTTGTTTCGGCTGCACCCAACATGGCCTTTTCCACCTCTTTCACAGCCATTTGGGAAGGTCCAAGCATAACCAGTCTGCTTTTTTTCTTGATATTTCCTTAGTTCAAAAACTGCATATTCTAGGAAACACCCTGCAATTGGCCCTATTCACACAACACACTTTCCCACCTCGTGGGTTTGCCCCATACCCTGAACCATCAACTAACCCAACTAGGCTCCATTTGTACCACACAGCGAGCCCCAAGGAGAAATAAACCAAGCTTAAAATGAACTAAGCTTAACATCTTAAGCACAGGCAGCCTGAAGGCTGTAACCGAGCTGGTCAGGTTGTGTGAAGTGAATACAGGCGTAGACTAATATCTCATTAAAGCATGGGGGTGGGGGCATGAAGCCACTTGGCCTTCTGCAACCTGAAAACAAAGAAGGGTTTCACTCTGCAGTAGCAGTTAACTCTGGTGGAGGCCCTTTACGTTCTATAGGAAAAAACACCCCATGGCAAGCAGATAACAAAGATAACAGGTCGACTGCAGATACCATGACGTCACCCTTGTCAATTCCAGCTCTGGGGACTTTTCAAGGGATGACATCATTCAGAACGGTAGCCCCTTGTCTTGGAGGCAAACCTGACTGGGAAGCATCAGGGAAGCCTGAGCAGAACAGAAAGCCCTGTGATAGGTCCGGTTCGCATCTCCAGAAACACAATGACAGAAGCCCCCCTATGCCCTGAAGGGTGGAAACCTCCAATCCAGATGTAGCCACTGCCACTGAAGCAAGGTTTAAAAGCACTGGGGAGGAGTGGGTAAAGGTCGGGTCGATATAGGCTTCGCTGGGCTTCTGCTTTGATCAGCCCCTCCGGCAGAGGTGGAGAATTTTTTTCTGCCCCCAGATCTCTCTGCACAGCAATTCCTTCCAAACTTGCCATGTAACGTCGCAAAGGCATGACATGGATTGCACACATATGGAATCCCTCCTCCCAACAGGGTTTTCTCTCCAGCAGGCCAATTACGAGAGCCGTCCCGCACATGCCCCCCTCCCCCCCAGTTCAGAAGGGTTTGCAGCCTGTGGGTCTCGGCCCCCCTCCCTCAACTGACACCCCTTCCCCCACGGGCAAACCAAAAGGACACCCCCTCTGAGCTTTTACAGATGCACTTTGGAGACACACTGAACACATTCACCCCAGACAAAGGGACACACCCTACCGACTCACTCACAGATGAACATTTAAAAGAAGTGCCGGTGATTAAAATGTTAAACAGACAAAAATCTTAAAGCTACAGGGACAAGGGGCACGAGGCTCAGCGCTTTAAAAAAAAAGATCCTTTTTTTCCTTCATTGTTGCTGCAGTAAAGAAGAGAATTCTGTTTTTCCTTTAGGGTTAAAAAAAAAGCATCTTCTAGCGCAAAGGTCCAAAGCAGTGATGACATCAGCATTTTTTAAAAATCCCCCTCCACCACCTTGGCTAATCTTGCAAGCTTAGGCAAGCCACCTTCAGCTTTGTTACCCCTCCATATTACAGCACGGGGGGGCTCGGAGCCGATGAGCCTGCGAGTGACGGACACCAGGGCAGAGAGTGCATAAATCTACCAGATTATATACACGCGCATGGATGCATTTCTGCAGAATACAGTGCAAAGTGTATATGGCTTCATCCAGACACACCCACTGCAAAGTATTTGCTCAAAGCCTTCACACTCGCCAGCATTCTGGCAAAGAGTTGGGGGAATAGTCCCTTCTGTACATAATGCACAGAACGGGTGCCTTGGACGCGAAAGGGTGTTACCAGCATGGGCTTGAGGGCATCCTTAGAGCAGACTTCCTCGGTCACCATCCTCCTGCAGTCTTCATATTCAGATATATTGCAAAAACCACAATAGACCTACCCTGCTTTGGAGTAAACTGGTCTGTCTAGAAACTCACATCCTGCAAATATATTGGACACAGGATCATTTAGGTACACGTGTGCTCTGAAGGTAGGTAGATGAGTCTCATAACTGTATCTCTGCACCCTGGGAGGCAGGTGGGTAGACATTTCTCGTCCTTAGGCAAGCCAACGAATGGTCCATAGAGACTCATCTCTGCAAGCCCATGGAATGCCCACCACGACAGAGAGGCAGAAAATGTACGAGACACATAATCAGCCCACCCGCTGAAAGGAACATCCATCCACTTTCAGGCCAAGCAGACAGTTATAGGAGCATGTTCATAAACACACCCACCATCTGGATTGAGATAATTCAATTACATGCCTTTCTAGATGCGGGCCAGGGCCATCCACATTGCATATCCAAATAAGTATTTTAAGCTTCAGAGAAGGAAATCCATATTTAACATACAATGGATTAGAACGTCTCCTAACATGGCTTATTTCTGCCTTCTGCTGTAGGAGTTGCAATTAGGTGGCAGAACAACTGATCAGAGCGCAAGAAATCCCAATCCACTTAAGGGATTTCTGAGGGGTTGGGGAAAGTCTTTATCTAAGAAAGTCACTGCCAGAATAAAAATGATGTAGCTAGATGAGATCCTTTTTGATGGACAAGATGACAACTCCCATAATCCCCAGTCATCTTGCCCATGTTGCCTGGGGCTTATGGGAGTTACAATCCAAGATAGCAGGAAGGCAGTCTTGAGAAGGTTGGGCTGGACAGCCACAGTGTACAGTTTGAGGGGCTGAGGATCACGCTTGACTCTAAGTACAGCCAAGCCCCCCCCCCAAAAAGATACATTTGAACTTGCTTTGATTAAAAGTAGATTGAATTATATATGGGTGACATGAGTCCTCCCAGGTATTTAATAGTTTCCCCATTCTATCACATGACAAACTAAAATTTGGTGACAACTTTTAGATGGTTGCAGTAGGCCACATCAAAACTTTCCGAGACAGGCAGCAGATCTAGAATAAGGAGTTTCCAATGATACAGAGTACTATATGCATTCACCCACGGCCTAAATATGAACTCTGACATCACTTTTAAAAAACCACCCAACAGGTAAAATATTCCCACTACCGAAATTCATATGCCAAATTCACTCTTGAATTTGGCACCCTGAGGCAGGTTCAAAGTGTCATCTTCCATGGGCTGGAACATGGGGCTTTCCATGTGTTACTCCACAGGAAACCCTCTTCTCCCCACCCTCCCTGGAGCTACCCTACAATGGCTTCATCATTACCTTCTTCCAGTTCATCCATGCTCCCAATCTTTCTGCTGCCATCGATGGTGTAAATGTAGCGAACTCCCTGAGGAAGATTAATGTTATCAGACAGAGAACGGGTCAGGTCAGCCAGCAAGGCATCAAAACTACGGAAGCGGTCACTGGAGACAGCATAAACAATCCCCTTGAAATAGCGGTCCCCATTGCGGTAGAAGCGCACTTTCTTCGCCTTCTTCTCGTTGCTCAGGGCTTGTAAGGTCCTGGTCCGGTAGAAGCTACAGTGGGCACTGTGAGTGGGGCTTGGCAAGCCATTCATTCGGGAACCACGCATGTTTCTGGACGCCTTATCTCTTTCGTCAAAGTGTCCAAAATCAAGTTCCATTGCTTGGTGACCCCTAAAGATGTGAAACTGAGGCAGAAGAGGAAGGGAAAGAATGGATGCAAAGGAGAGAAAAAAATGCAGTCAGGCAGCCTAGCATTTGGAGAAAGAAGCCGTTGACACAGATCTTGGATGTGGCCCCCTTAAAAAAAGAAAGAAAAGAAAAGAAACACCTGGGTTTTCCTTTCCTTGGATTTATACCAAAAAAGAGTTTTCCATATGCTTTTGTGCATGAGTGAAATGTTTTGAGCACTGGGGAGGGAGGGAGCCTCCTATGCAATACAATAAATCAAGACTTCTTATTTCTAAGAATGATTTTCATCCCGCCTTCCTACCTTTTAGTATAACTATCTTTCCAAAACAGTTTATAAGCCAAAAATATATATGGCCAAGAGCATTTCACTGAGCCCAGTGGACGCTGTACATAAATTAGTTCTGCATAGCTGGAATAGGAGAACAAACCACTCCATGGGCAGCGCTGTAAGACGGATCTGTGAACAGCTGTAATGAGTGGACAGAAGTTCACTGCAGTTTAGATGGGGCTGTGGACCGGGGGGGAAAGGGGAAAAAAACCTTCCATGGGCTGTTGGACACATGGAAGTGACAATGCCCAAGAGTTACATGGCCAACAAATCGAAGAACCAGTTCTGCATCCGTAAAGGATTCAAGATGGCCAAGGATGAGTGGAGGGACCAAACTCGAGAGCCCTTTCAAACGGGTGAAATCATCAGCAGGTCAGCTTTCCAGTCATAGAGCAACAATGCCATTTTCTTTGTGAGCAGCTGGTTAAAGGAGAAAGCGAGCCACCCAGTCCTTCCCTTGGCTCACCCGTCCCTCCTAGCCATCAATCACTTCTGAGGATTATTCCCAAAGGCCCAGGAGATAACATGGAAGGGTGGAAAGAGTTAATATAGAAACAACAGTGAGGAAGTTAATGCAGAAGTACAATATTGTTTCCACTTGGAATGCAATTCTAGGGTCAGTTAATCAGGAAGGCTTTTGACACCTCCGCTTCTCCCTCCTTACCAGTAAAATGAAGTGATTTTTAATTGCTGAAGGAACCTCTGAGAGTATTCACATCACACCCCTTCAATTGGCACCGTTCATTGTTCAGAGCTAGAGCACGCTATTGCAAAGAGAGGGAGGAAACGAGAGGCTTTACTTAATTTCTGCAGCGGAGGAGAGATGGGGATGACAGAAATACTCTGGGGGTGACCTAAGATCCTAGGCATCACCTCCTTTTGCAGCTTAAAACTTGGAAGGAAAACAAAAGCTCTCAGCATCATGGAAAAACGAAGAAAGCCGGGCGAGCTCCGGCTTTCGCTAGCCTTCATGCTATTAGCATGCAGTTCACATCTCTGCTAGAGACCTGGGGTGAAACATGCAGTTTAGCAATCGAGCAAAAGCCGTTGCTTTCCAGCTACTTCCTGTCAGTTCCTGGCTAGTTCTCAACCCACCATTCATTTTCTACAGTGTCACAATGACCTGTCCCTGACCTTCGTATGGTCACACTTGAGCTGCAAAGGGAGTTTTCCAGGCTCTCTTCCTTCCGACAAGTTGCAGATTCCTCTCCTGCCTCTTTCTTTTTATCCGAGGATGTACCTACAACGGAACTGCCCCCAAAGCCAACTTTTCCGAAAAAGAATGGGAAAATCAACCGTTGAGTGATGGGCTGAGAACGCATCTCTCGCTTGAAAGGTTCAGCCTGTCCTTTGCTGGCCCCTGACATCTGTTACTCGCTCTGCTTGGAAAATTCAAGCTCTACTTACCGGTTTTCAGCTCACAGGGCGGAGATGCTGAGAGAAAGAAACCCAGCTACACTCTGCCTTTGTTGTCTGCGCTCCAAGGAAGAAATTCCTGCCAATTTGGCCAAGATTCCTCCTAGGTCCTAGTGCCTTTTGCATACATGGACTTGCACGCCTGTACACACACAGAGACAAACAGGCCCCTTCTGCAAAATAAAGTCGCTTGGCTTGGTTTCATGCTCAGGACCAATTTTCCTGGTAAACTTTCTTCTCCTTCCCACTTCTTTTAAAAAAGATTGCCTGATTCAGGATTTTGATTTTCACATAGGGCCACAAAGAGTGGAACGAGCCATATTTTAGGAGGCATCGTCTGTGCTTTTCCCAGAAAAACCTCCCATTGTCTAGTTCCTGTAATGCTCTTCCCAGCCCAGCTGAAAACAGAAAAGGTTTGATTTACGCCACAGCATTGGGCTTCATGAAAGGCACCAAAAGTGAGGGTGTTCTAGCTAGATGCCTATGGAAATCGCAGCTGCCTTGTGGACCGCAAGCAGGGTGAAGCTTTAAGCAAGCAATGTTGTGTAAATCAACACATCCCTCTATTGATCACACACCATATTTCCCCAAATCCCAGAAAGAAAGGATAAGGCACTCTGTTAGGCTTAACCAGGACCTTGGTTCACAAGAAATGAGGAAGGGCAGTGGTTGAACCTCAAGACATCAGGTATGGGGATACACCTGGACTTATTTTAGGATATGTCACTCTGACTTTAAGCCGGGATCAGATTGATTCCAGATGCCCTATACTGCACCCATAGGGAAAAAGAGTCTTGGGGTAATTCTGCTCTTATCACTCCTTTCTTCTTAATTCTCCATCATGGAAGCAATGAGTAAATTTGTTTTCAGAACAGAGGTGAGTAAGTCTGAAGTCTGCCCTGACCCAGAAAAAACACATTTTATGGCCATGTTCTCTTCTGACAAAACCACCCAATGTACTTCCCTGCCTTTCTGCCTTTTCAACATCATCTTCATTATCCATCTTCATCTTCTTCATCATCATCTTACCCAGTATTGTCTCTCTCTCCACAAAAGTGTTGGACTCCTTCCCCCCCACCCCACCCCCACAACCAAAATTGCCCAACCCTGCCTTGGGGGATCCTGTTACTACGGTGCAAAACAAATCTCACCTGCCATTTTTTGGCTGTTGGTTTTCATTCAGACGGATGCAAGGAAACTGGTTTCAAAATTCCTTTCCACGGAAAAGAACATTTTGGTGGCTTTCTTTTGGGTGGGAAGGAGTGTTCGTGGGCTTGTTTAATGATGAGATAGCCAAGCTCTTGTGTGAATGTGTAGCGTTTGCATCTCCAGCTGTTGGAAGCCTCCTGGCTTCGCACTATTCCTTTAATCCCAGTGAGGATATTAGGAGTAAACCTCTCCCATGTTTTGTTTTGTTTTTCCCCAGATTGGGAAGTGTAGACTGCCAGGGAGGCTTCGGAGAGAAGGGAAAATGTGTAGAAGAAGAAAGATTAACAATAGGCTGTTCTTTCACTTACAATAATGAAGCAAGTGAACACACATCAAGAAGAAACATTCAGAAGATATTCCAGAATCCTGAGAATTGGGGAGATGGAGGAACCAGTAGCTTTTTTTTTACAGAGGAAAAAATCTTTTGAGAATTTGCAAGGTAGATTTCAGCAAAATGTTCCACTCTTTTCCCTACGCCTGAACTTTTGGCTTTAGAAGGCAAATCCAGAGATGCTCTTTGCTATTTTAAGCAGATTCTGAATCGAAGTCTGCACGTGGCCTTCAGAAAGCCCTTCTTTCATATAAGATCAGCGCATTCTTTCTCTTATTTATGTATTTACTTACTTACTATATTTGTTAACTGCTTCAATCTTACAATTCTGGACGTAAAAAGGCAAACTATGATTAAAAAATAAAGACAGAATAGCAAACAATTACACAAGGGCAAGGTTTGGTACCTACAACAATCAACAGGATCCAAAAGCTTGTTAGAACAGGAAGATATAATCGTCTTCCAGAATATGAGAAGGGGAGGAGGTGGAAAACATATGAAAAGTGTAATATGCATATATGTTTTTCCTTCTCTGAATAGAAGTAAACAACTATCAGTTTTTTAAACCAGGATGCTCAGTTGGGGCTCTGAAGACTGTGTAAGAGTTGGTCCTCAGACTAATAAGGATTCAGGCAATCCAGAGCTACAGATTCTCCCTGTATCTGAGAAGAGACCTGCCTCTTCTCTGGTGCATTGTAAGGCCGTGAGATAGTCCCTGCCCTAATGTACGTATACCTAGATATATTGGTTCTGAATGGAAAATAGTTTGCTTGCTGGAAATCTCATATTATTCCTATTTTCATCTGAATAAAGCTTGCCAAACAGAATTTTGGAAGAAGCACTTTCAGTTCAGACAGCTGGATAAAGAAGCCTTAAGGTCTCATGTAGGTTTGAGGGTACAAGTTCTACTCTGTACCACTTCTGGAGGTATCAGTAGCTTCTCAGCACCAAAGAGTGACAAGCTCCTTTCAGACAAAGACCTGTTTGTGGTCAGGTGGATCCCACTTTGGAGTTACAATCGCAGATGGGATATGGGGCTAGTCAGCAATCCCATTGCCTTTTCTATGGTCACTGGCAATGTATGAGCAGTCTTGGATAAGCGAGGGGTGGAGAAATTAGGATTGTGAAAACTGTTGGAACTCCAGACTTTGCAAGCCCCAAACACTGAAGGTCTACCAGTGTTCTGTAGGTTTTGCTTATGGCTCAGGACAAAAGAATCCAGTTTTGCTCCATCCTTGGAACCAGGGGTATCCATGGGATAGGTCCAAAAAGTCAGGATGGTGGACACGGTTGCATAGTTGTGGCTACCGTGCTTTTTGTTTTGTTTTTTGACACACACACCCTCCCCAATGATCACACCTGATTGGGATAAAATCATTACCCAAATGCCAGCCTGTTGACCTCTCCTGCTAATACATAATCACTGCCTTTGCACGATAATTCAATTTCAATTCAATTTCATTTATTACAGCCTTTAGCCAGCAAATAAAACAGAAAGAAAAGGAAAGAGTCAAAATAGATAAACACGAATAAGCCTATGCAGCAATCCAACTTAAATCTTAAATCCTATTATGGATCCCCTGCTGAATTGATTACTGATGCTAAATAAAAACTTTGCAACATTTTATGTTTGCACAAAAAGCATTATCAGTGAGCAGAAATCAGCACAGAAACTGTCTGATTGTCTGGGGATTGGTGCTAGAAGGGGAAAAATAAGATTTCGATGCAAGGTTGTATAAAACCTGCAATATACAAGAACATGAGTTGGTAACCTACAAAAACTGGGCAGTTGGTTCAAACTATATTGTAGCTCGATTTCGAATAATCGTTGGTCCATCAGATTTATAGCGTGAGCCCAACCAAGGTTATATAAAATGGCTTGAGAAAGGCTACATAGAAGGAGCTTCTGCTTAAGAGACTTCTTCCAAGTAGATTGGAAAGCATCAATGAGAACCAAGGAAAGCAGTCCAGGGGATGATACATACATTGAAGCCAACAATGATATCATCACACACATTTCATTATTTGCTCATCCCCTTGAGTCCCCCTAGCTTTCTGCTCTTCCCCTACCAGTTTTCAAAGTCTGAGTCCTAACTTCTCATTCCAGTTCTGAGTTTGTAGTATCAGAGCTGGAAGTAATGGGACCTGCATTTAGCCTTCAAGGTTCATCATGTGCCATGGATCCTCAGCACCTGAAATACCATCTTCATCAGCTTGGTCCTCTTCTGAGGACAACAGAAGGACAAACCACAATAATAATAATAATAATAATAATAATAATAATAATAATAATAATAATAATAATA